TCCTGAAGCTTAATTTCGTTGGATACACAATTCTTGGTTGGAAACCATTTTCTTTCAGTGTTTGAAATATGTTATTCCAGGATCTTCTAGCTTTCAGAGTCTGTGTTGAAAGATCAGCTGTTATCCTGATTGGCTTACCCCTAAATGTAATCTGCTTCCTTTCTCTTGTAGCTTTTAAAATTCTCTCCTTATTCTGTATGTTGGGCATCTTCATTATAATGTGTCTAGGTGTGGATCTCTTATGATTTTGCACATTCGGCGTCCTGTAGGCTTCTAGGATTTGGGATTCTGTCTCATTCTTCAAGTCTGGGAAGTTTTCTCATATTATTTCATTGAATAGACTGCTCATTCCTTTGGTTTGGAGCTCTGTACCTTCCTGTATCCCAATGACTCTTAAGTTTGGTCTCTTAATGTTATCCCATATTTCTTGGATGTTCTGCTCATGGTTTCTTAACAGTCTTGCTGAGCTGTCTATGTTCTTTTCCAGTTGAAATACTTTGTCTTCATTGTCTGATGTTCTATCTTCTAAGTGTTCTACTCTGCTGGTAGTATTCTCCATTGAGTTTTTAAGTTGGTTTATTGCTTCCTGCATTTCTAGGATTTCTGTTTGTTTGTTTTTTATAACCTCTATCTCCCTGTATAGTTGATCCTTTGCTTCCTGGATTTGTTTGCGTAATTCATTGTCGAAGTGATCTTTCATTGTCTGATTTTGCTGTCTAATGTCTTCCTTGATACTCCAGATCATCTGAAGCATGTATATCCTGAATTCTTTATCTGACATTCCATCTGCTGCAGCTGTTACCTCTTCTAAAGTTGCATTGACCTGCAATGCTTGTGGTCCTTTCTTTCCTTGTCTTTTCATACTGCTTGCGTATCTTTCCTGCAGGCACGGGCGGCGGCTCTGTTCTCTCCTTATTCCAATTGGGGTGTCGTGGCTACCACGCCGGCAGGTCACTGGGCCTGTTCTGGGCGCTGGCGGCGGCTCTGTTCTGCCCCTACTCCAATTGGGGTGACGAGTGTACCACGCCGGCAGCCCACCGGGCCTGATCTGCCGGTCGGTTGCAGGTTACCCTACAGGCGCGGGCGGCGGCTCTACTCTGCCCCTACTCCAAATGGGGTGACGTGTCTGTCGTACCGGCAGGCCACTGGGCCTGTCCCGCTGGTCGGTCGCAGATCTGCCCACCTTTCGGGCACGGGTGGCGGCTCTGCTCTGCCCCTACTCCAATTGGGGTGTTGTGACTACCCCGCCTGCAGGTCGCTGGACCTGTTCCTGGCACGGGCGGCGACTCTGCTCTGCCCCTACTCCAATTAGGGTGGTGTGTGTACCACGCCAGCAGGCTCCTGGGCCTGATCCACCGGTCTGTCGCAGGTCTGCCTACCTTGGAGGCGCGGGCGGCGGATCTGCCCTGCCCTTCCTACCACGCCTGCGGACCCCTGGGCCTGATCTGCAGGTTGGTCACAGGTCTGCTCACCCTGCGGGCACGGGTGGCGGTTCCGCTCCGCCCCCACTCCAATTGGGGTCACGTGGCCACCACACTGTCAGGGCCTGATCCGGGCGTGGGAGAAGGATCTGCTCTGCCCCTACTCCAGTTGGGGTGACGTGTGTACCACACTGGCAGGCCACTGGGCCTGACCCACCAGGCTGTCACAGGTCTGTTTACCTTGCAAGCGCGGGCGGCAGCTCTGCCCTGCCCCTCCTACCACGTCCATGTACCACTGGGTCGCGGGTCTGCCCACCTTGCGGGTGCGGGTGGCGGCTCTGCTCCACCCCCTCTCCAATTGGGGTCACGCGGTCACCATGCTGGCGAGCCGCTGGGCCTGCTCCGGGCGCTGGCGGCGGCCCGGCTCCTCCCCTCTGGCTCGACGACAAATTGAGGAGACTCGGGTGTCTGTGCCTCACTCCCCCTACCAGGAGACCAACTGTTTCTGTCGCCGCTGGTATTGATGAAGTTCTCTCCTCCGCCGCTTTCTGATGACATCAGATCTCTGCCATGTTGGTATCCTATGCGAATGGCAGCATTTTGTTCCCCTTGCTGGGCAACCAAAGCAACGGGTGAGTCCTGACCGGCCCTCAGCAGGACCCGGACCATGAAGCAGTTTGGGGGTTTTTCATATATAGCTTTTATGATGTTAAAGTAGGTCCCTTCTATTCCTAGTTTCTTCAGTGCTTTTATCATGAATGGGTGCTGAATTTTGTCAAAGACCTTCTCTGCATCTATTGAGATGACTAAGTGATTTTGTCCTTAACTCTATTTATGTGATCACTTACATTTATTGATTTGCAAACGATAAAGCATCCTTGCATCTCTGGAATAAAACCAACTTGGTAAAGATGTACAATCTTCTTAATATGTTGTTGAATATGATTTATTAATATTCTGTTAAATATTTTTGCATCTGAGTTCATCAGGGATATTGGTCTTTAGTTCTCTTTCCTTGATGTGTCCTCATCTGGTTTTGTTATGAGTGTGATACTGGCTTCATAGGATGAATTTGGAAGTGTCCCATCCCTTTCCACTTGATGGAATAATTCGAGGAGTACTGGCAATAGTTCTTCTCTAAAGGTCTGGTAGAATTTGGCTAAGAATCCAACTGGCCCTGGGCTTTTCTTTATTGAGAGGCTTCTTATTACTGCTTCTGTCTCATTACAAGTTATTGATCTATGTAGGTTTTCTATGTCCTCTTGATTCAATTTTGGCAGATCATGTCTCTAGAAATGAATGCATTTCTTCTAAGTTTTCCAGTTTATTGGAGAATAGGTTTTCAAAATAATCCCCAACGATCTACTGGATTTCTGTGATGTCTGTAGTGATTTCTCCTTTTTTATCTCAATTTTATTAATTTGAGTCTTCTTTTTCTCTTGGTTAGTTTGGCTAAAGGATATTGTTCTTCTTTTCAAAGAGACAGCTCATTGTTTCATTGACCCTTTGTATTGTGTTTTTATTCTCAAGTTCATTGATTTCAGCTCTGATCTTCCTTCCTTCCTTCTACTGGCTTTGCAAATGGTTTGTTCCTCTTTTAAAGGGCTTTGACATGCTTATTAGGTTTTTTAAGGAGGATTCAGATTTTATGTAGGCACTTACAGCTGTAGACATTACTCTTAGAACTGCCTTCATGGTGTTCCAGAGGTTCTGGTATGTTGTGTCACTGTTCTCATTTTAGTCTAGGAATTCTTCAATTTCTCCCTCAATTTACTTTCTCATCCATTCATCATTCAGACATGTATTGTTCAATCTCTCTGCATTTATATAGTTTCTGTAGTGTTTTATTGTGTTGATTTCTAATGTCCTTCCATTATTATCTAAGATACAAGGAATTATGTCAAATAAGATTTTCAATAACATGATCAGATATGTAGTCAGAAAAAAGTTAAGTCCAATTCAAGAATAAAAATTAAAATGAGGAGGAAAAAATGCATGTCAGAGATTTTGTTTTCATTTTTATTTTGAGGCAGAGTCTCACTATGTTGCCTAGACTGGTCTTGAACTCCTGAGCTCAAGCAGTTCTCCCACCTCAGTCTTCTGAGGGCTGGGACTGCAGTGTGTTGGACAGTTTTTATTTTTAACCTAAAAACCATTTATAATGAATTTATTTTTGGTTTTATGCCATGAAAGTTTTTCTTTAAATTTTAAGACCTAGCACAGTGGCGCACACCTGTAATCCCAGTGACTTGGGAGGCTGAGGCAGGAGGATCTCAAGTTCAAAGCCAGCCACAGCAACTCAGTGAGGCCCTAACCAACTCAGTGAGACCCTGTCTCAAAATAAAAATAAAAAAGGGCTGGGGGAAAAATTAAAAAGGACTGGGGTTGTAGCCCAGTGGTTAAACCCCTTGGGTGAATCCCCAGTAACAATAAAACTTTTTTAATTGTCATAATTGAACAATATTTGACATGCTAGTTTTCCCCATTCTAAAATAAAGGAAATATTATTCTGTTCAGTCAATTGATAATAGAAAGTATGGTTTATCAAAATAAAAATAACAGAGAATTGTTCATTTCAATTTAGGAAGGTGTGTGTGTGTGTGTGTGTGTGTGTATTATTTGATCTAAAAGATATCTGGCTTTTGCCAGAAATAAACCAACATAGGAAGTTAATTCACTTTTTTTGTGTGTGTAGTGCTGGGGATTGAACCTAGGGCCTTGTGCAGGCAAGGCAATCAATCACTCTACCAACTGAGCTATATCCCCAGCCCATTTAATCCTCTTTTTGACCCAAGATGCTCTGCTGATTTTTATAGCTTTTGAAAGCCTAAGATATTTTACAAAGAAAAAGTCCCTGATTTAAACATGGTAACATTTTTTGCGTAGATATCTGTCTCTTGAGTCATTTAAAACTTAATAAGCAAATAATTTATTAGTATTCCCCTGATTTAGGGATTAGAGATTTAAAACACAAAAGCCTTAAGTGTTGACACGGATGATTGTTGCAGTAAAGAAAGTTTACAGAGAGCCCCCAAGGACCAGCTGTCCAGTTTGGAAACTCTCAGTGTAAACAGAGAGGGCACTAGCTCCTTTTGAATTTCAGACTTTTATCGATTTTGATGTTTATGCAAACAGGGTTAAGCCTTAAACCATGATTAAGGCCTGGGACCAAAGAGTGACAGAGATAAACACTTGAAGGAGCAAACTGGGAGCAAATCTCACAGAACAGTAGGGGAGAAAGAGAGCCAGATGAGCTTAGATTAACACTGCAAAAACAATCAAAACTCCCTCTGAAAGAATGTATCTATTTAAAAAATATGGATCCCATTTCATCATAATTATAATTTAAATGGTGAAATAATGTTAATTATGACAATTAATTTAAACAGTGAAATAATGGATATAACCCTAAAGGTCCTAAATAGGGAAAGGGAGAAATAAATTATAGTACATACATGGATAACATGGAACCACACAAAAACACAGACTCAAAGATATGGGAATGCTTATGAAGTAATGCTTAGTTTAAAAAATAGAATAATGAGGGCTGGGGGTATAGCTCAGTGGGCGAGTGCTTACCTGCCACAGGAAGATCCTGGGCTTGATCCCCAGCACTGAAAAAAAAAAGGTAGAAAATTGAAACCATAAATGTAGCTTACAGTTTCTGTTTTTTAACAAATATAGAAAAATGATTAGAAGGAAACATGCCAGAGTCGTTACTCAGGCAGTAGATCCACTGATGATTCTTATTGTCTTCTTTACACCTGAATTTAGTACAAATTACATAATTTGGAGGGGAAATCCAGTTACCTGTCATTTTCTGTTTTATTTAATTATTTGAAATTATTCATAGGTTTTTTTCCAGCATATCCATTTTTGAAAGTACATGGTAAATTTAAAATAATGCCTGTAAAAGAAAGCAAAGGATTAGAAAAAAATATTTTTAAAATCTTCATAATTATCTAATCCAATTTTTTGATGTCTTATATGAGTTCTATACTACATTAGATTCTGTGACTTAAACCAAATGCCAAAATATAACTCCTACCATGAGGAGGTTCATCAGCAAGTTTGGAAATCGAGAAATATATCCTGAAAAGTTAAATTATGCTAGATGTACATGATTTAATAGTGTATCTGAGGCTATAATATTCACAGAAATTATAAAATAGTCATCTTCTAAAAGAAGAAATAACTAGAAATCGATATACAATTGATGAGATTATTCCTCTGTAGGAGAAATACATCCTCAGAAATTATTTGTCATTTCTGGGGACTGGAGTTAAATACCAAAGTTAATCAGGATGGTTGACCTGTATTTGTTTTGTTGCTATCCCTATAGGATAAAACATAACTTCTAAAAAAAGAAACAACAAAAGAAAAGGCAAGCTATATAACCTAATGTAGTGGCTCTCAACCTTTAGCATACCTCGGAATAACCTGGAGAACTTTTTGAAACATAGACTGCTGGTCTCCATCCCCAGAATGTCTCATTCAGTAGAGTTGGAGTGGGGTCCAAAATTTTGCTTTTTGAACAAATTCCCATGTGAGGCAGATGCTGCTGATCCAGGACAACACTTTGAAAACCACTTACACATTTTTTTTGTCATTTTTCTGGGGAGAAAGAGCAGGTGAGTCAGAAACACATTCTGTGTAGTCTTGAAAGACCAAGCAGAGGAGGGAGTGGTGTTGGTGTGTCTGCAGCACTGTCATGGGCACCTCTTAGGGTGGTGCCCTGCAGTCACAGTGGGGCTGCTTCTGGGGATCTCCTTGTGGGAAGTAGGCAGACTCCCTCTGGATCAACCACAAATGCTTTGTACAGCTCAATCACAGGCAGATAACTCAACCAGTCTGAGACAGAACCCCTTCTTTAAAAATCTGAAGTTGGGGGCTGGGGTTGTGGCTCAGCGGTAGAGTGTTCACCTAGCATGTGCGAGGTGCTGGTTCAATCCTCAGCGCCACATGAAAATTAAAAAATTAAATAAAGGTATTAAAAACATATATTTTAAAAAAATCTGAAGTTAGTAGAGGCAGCAGATTAGAGGGAGGGTGGAGGGGAGAAAAAGGGAAGGTACTGGGGGAATGAGATTGATCAAATTGTTATGTGAATGCATGAATAAGGCACAATGAATCCATATTCATTAGTGGACTCAATATTATATCTAATAATAATGTACCAACAAAAAATAAAGTAAAAATAAAAAGTTCACACATTAAAAAAGAAACTTAAATTGAGTTCATCTTTCCAACAAACAGGAAACATAAATGTGAATTTTAGAGTGGTAGATAGCCATTTTAGTGTTATACTGAAGCCAGGCTGGTCCACACTGACCCACAAGGAAAGAATGTTAAATTTTCAAGAATTTTGGGAATCAGTTGTTAAGCATAGCCATTATTAAACATTAAATAAGTTACTTAAAATAAATGGTGTTAAAGCAAAGGTAATAAGTACACTACAACCTATTAATTATTTTTCTACTGTGTATGTTCTTGGATTTATTTATTACAGTTGTATCTTCATGGTGGATATGCTATATAATGGTGTGCTCCTACATACCTTTTAACAATTTCCATGCTTAAGGACATCACATTGGTGGCTTGAAATCAGCAATGGTGACTGTATTAGTCGGTTTTCTCCAGAGAAACAGAACCATGAGGATATATATATATATATATATATATATATATATATATATATGTATGTATACAGATGCTTCTCAACTTACAACAATTTATGTTCTGATAAACCTCCTGTATATTGAAAATATTGTAAGTTAAAAATACATTTACTACACCTAACCAGTGGAACATGCTAGCTCAGCAGCACAGTGCACTGCAAAGAATTGATTCTTTCCTCTCGCAGTCAAGTGACTGACTGGGAGCTGCTGCTGCCCAGAGGATCTTAGCACACATCACTAGCCTACAGAAAAGACAGAAATTAAAAACTCCAGGTTTGGTTTCTACTGAGTGCTTTTTACTTTTGCATCATTTTAAAAATGGTAAGTCTAATCATAAGTTGGGAACTGTCTACATAAAATATTTATATGGGGAATTGGCTCACACAACTATAGAAGTTTGGATGTCCCACAGCCTGCCATCTTCAAGCTAGAAAACTAGAAAAGATGGTAGTGTAATTCAGTCCAAAGTCCTAAGAAAGGGTTGGGAAAGACAAGGGGGATGCTGGTATAAGGCTTAGAGTCCAAAGACCTAAGAACCAGGAGCTCTAATGTTCAAGGACACAAGAGACTCAAGAAAAGCTCACAGACCTGCCTGACAATAATGTATTACCAGTTATCTAGGAATCCCCCAAGCTAGTCAAGTTGACAAATAAAATTAATCATAACAGTGGGGGTATTTAGACCACAGAAATTGGCAAACTCTACAAATCAAGGCTTAATCTAACATTTTATTGATGATCTCAGCTTTAAATTTTTGTGGAGAAAATACTAATAATACAGAGCAGGGTTTCTCAATCTTGGGCCAGGTAAGTCTATGCTGTGGGAAGGATGTCTTGGTGCTCCACTCAATAGATCAGTTGTACCACTTCTCTAGTTGTGGCAATCCAAAATGTCTCTGGATATTGCTAGTATTCCCTGAGGAGTAAAATCTCTCTCAGGTGAAAAATCATGGATACAAAATAAAATGAAAAAATGTGGTGTCTGTAGCCATTACTTAGTAAATAATGAAAGAAACTGAAGAAATATTCTTCTAGCATTTGAAAACTATTATTTGATTCAATAGTCTCTAACATCATTGACAAATGAAGTTCTGATGTGCATCTTCATTGTTCCACTTTTGTCTTATTCATTAATTTAAGCATAAATATAAGCTAGCATTCATGTCAGACCTGGGCTTGTTCATCAATTGGAACCATAGATTAACTCAAGATATGAGAGTTCCGTAAAAATCAATGAAAGTATTCTGTGAGAATCAATTATTTATATGGAATTTACAATAAAGAGTACTGTATAGTTATTATTTATAAATTGTATCCTCCACAAAATTATATATATGTAATATATCCTTTTTTCATAGAAAGCAAGTTTATAAATATTTATCAGCATAGCTGTGGCCACTATCCACTTCCCATATTGGTTGGTTACTAGAAAACTGTTCTAGTAACTCAAAGAGAGTTTTAGTGTCAACAAAGAAGAGTAAAACCAGATTTGCAGGAAGAAACATGAATGACAGACAATGAAGAACAATCCGTTGGAGCCTCCTAGAGTCCCAATTCTCTGGTTCTTCCTGGAGTATTGCTTGCATTGGTGTTTCAAAAAACACAACTGATTCCTTACACTACATTTATTTTTTTAAGATTCCCCCCTTCTTTACATTTTAATGTTCCCTAATTCAGGATGCACCTAGCAACCAATCGGTGCGACCATGAGTGCTATGGTATTCTGCCCACTCTCCTCAGACCAATGCAGGGGTGTTAGGTAACCTCCACCTTATAGGAGTAGGGGCTGCTGAAGATACAAATCTGCATCCCTCACCTGGGCATAGCCCCAGCCTGCAGGACCTGCCTCAGCCAAGGTTGCAGCCCTTCCCAAGGGGCACCCCCAACCAAGGACTGATAGAGAAATTCAAAGGCCCCGCTTAATTGCCTCAACTTGAGGCAAACCTAAGTGGTCTTTTTAGCTCAAAGCTCCCACAGAAAATGTTAAAGTTTGGATCTAGAATGTTCTCCAAGGCTCATGTGTTAAAGGCATGATTCCCAACAGTGTTCAGAAGTGAGACCTTTGGGAAGGGTCTCATGGAGGCCTAAACTCATCTATGGATTAAGGTACTGATGTAAGAGTCATAGACAAATGGACTGTTGGGAGGTAGTACAAACTGTAGGAGGTGAGACCTATTTGAAGGGTGTGGGTCCTTGGGGGCATGCCCTTGGGGACTATATCCTGTCCCTAGCCCCTTCTCCCATTCCCTGGCTGCCACGAGGTAAGCAACTTTCCTCTGCCATGCCCTTCTAGCATGATGTTTCTGCCTTGCCACAGGCCTGAAAGCAATGGAGCCAGCTGACCACAGACTGACACTTCTTAAACCATGAGCCAAAATAAATCTTTTCTCCTTTAACTTGTTTTTCACAGGTATTTTGTCACAATGATGGAAAGGTAACTGACACAGGATCATAGGAGATCTTAGTCACAACCTTTTCCCTCTGCCAAATCCTGCCTTCCTCCTTTCCCCACAGACACATCTCCAAGAGCACTCCCTAGGAAACCACAACCACTTGCGTGCAATGCAAAGAAGTGCTCTCAAGAACTGACATAGGTATTCTGATCCATTTGTTAGGAAATTAATAAATTGACATTTTTGTTTTTAGATGATTTTTAAAGAATCGTTAGTGAGAATTATTTCAGAACATTATCCATGTCTGGTAACATGAACAGAATTGAATTTAAGAATGTTAAATGTGGGGCTGCATTTGTGGCTCAGTGGTAGAGCACTTGCCTAGCATGTGCGAGGCCCTATGTTCTATCCTCAGCACCACATAAAAATAAATAAAATAAAAAGGTATTGTGTCATTAAAAGTCGAGAAGCAGATCTTAGATATGGGTGGATCTTCAAATATCATCAGCCCTGTGAAGCCCAGGCTGAGACACCAGCTGACACAACTCCTGTGCTTTTTTTTTTTTTTTTTTGGCATTGCTGGGGATCAAACCCAGGTCCTCATACATGCCAGGCAGATGCTGTATCATGAGGCCACATTCCCATCCCCATTTCTTTTTCTTAAATGTCCACAGTGATCACCTAAGGGGACAGTCCATATACCACAGCCAGTCTCCTTTCCTTCTTCCTCGTCAGTTCGTGGGTATCATTGTCTCCTCTTCTACCCTCTGACCCAAAGCTTTCATAATGCTTTTTTTGTTTGTTCATTTGTGGTACTAGGGATTGAACCCAAAGCCTTGTGCATGCAAGGCAAGCACTCTACCAACTGAGCTGTATCCCCAGTCCTATAATGTTTTATTCATAGTATATTTGAAATGAAGAGGAATTTAAGAGGAAAACTTCAAGATTAGGAATAAAAAAGTAGAAATAACCAATGTATTGAAGGAAATTTGAGAAATACTTCCCACAACACCAATGGCAATAAACTTGAAAATATTCAAGAAAAAGGTGATTTTCTAGCAAAAATTTAAGTTACCCAAAATCGACAAAGAAAAAGCAGAAAACTTAAATAAGCAATTACAACAAAGGGAAGGAAATAGTGACTGTAGATATTCTACTTAAAAAGCACCAATTTCACTGTTGAAATCTTCATAATGTAGGTAATCCTGACATTATTTCAGCCAGTTGTTCTCAAACTTTCTGGTCTCGGAGCCTTTTCCATTCTCAAAAATCCACCCCTGCATCCCCTTCAGTGCTGGGGATAGAACCTAGGGCTTCCTGCATGTTAGGAAAGTACATTACCACTGAGCTACACCCTCAGTCTCTTAAAAATTCTTAAGGGTCTCAAAAGAGATTTGTTTATGTAGATTACTGATGCCAATGTTACCACATTAGAAATCAAAACAAGTTTTAAAAATTATTAATTCATTTAAAAATAACATAATGAACACATCATATATTAATATGAACAACATGTTCTATGAACAATAACTACATTTTCAAAAATCAATGAGAGGAGTGGCGTTGTTCTCCACTGTTGCAAGTCTGTTTAATGTCTAGCTTAACAGAAGAAAACTGAATGCTCATCTCTAATTCTGAATGCAGCAGGTTCTGATATTTTATTTTGGTTGAAGTAGATGAAGAAAATCTAGCCTTGCATACATGTGTAGTTGCAAAAGGGAAGGGATCTTAATTAGATAATTGTGGCT